ACGAAAATTTGTATTCTTTTCTCTGGCCTTTCTTGTTGTATTTCTAATACTTGAACAAAGTGGAAGCCTATGTTAAGGCTCCTTCCACCTCTAAGTAATTAACTTAGCAATTAAGGTAATGACCCAGTAAACTTCGTTTCTTTTGCAGAACAGCTACACACATAAGAATGCTCTTATCTCTTAAGGGTACTCTGCCTCTTTGAATAATTGGTCAGCAACTAGAACTATGAATAGATGAGAGAGATATTCAAAGCTGAGCACTGAAAACAATCACCCTCCTCTCTCACAGGTCTCAGAGCCCTACACAGATCTTGACTTCAGAGAAAATCGGAGTCTTTAATTACATTGATGTGCTTGGAGTAGTACTGTTTTCTTGTCGTGGACACTGAAGTGCCTAGGGTATACTTTTGTCCCATTTTCACATTCATCAGATGATTTTATTTAATATTATGACTTCTTCTAAACAGTGAAACTGGTATCCTGTAAGGCACATGCAGTTTACTGGGGTGGGAGGGTGAGTGGCACAGGACACCTCAGTCAAATATAGTTCTCTTGTTTGCCTTTGTCCACAAAAGTTAAACTGGAATGACTTTTGTATGCAGACAAACTACCAGAGAGGAAGGTGATATGGTCAAGCAGTCTGGGATAATAGAGCAGCCTGACCAAAACCATGAAATCCACTACAGGCTTCAGGAAAGGAAATAAAGTCACTGAAGAGATGAAATGCAGCTTTAGGTATCTCATAAATGTTGTTCATAAATATTGGAATAAAACCAAAGAATAAAAGATATAAACAAAAGAAGTGGGCCAGAGGAAAGAAGCAGACAGGAATACTGGTAAAGGTAAGGGGTAAAACTGTCTAGCAGATGAGAAATTTGACTGAGGTCCAGTTTCACTTTATTAACCAACAAGGGGACAACCAGGAACTAGAGCTGACAGTGACAGCGGGAACAGAGATATTCATGAAACCAGTGGCTCGTTTCTAAGGAAAATTGAAAGATTTAAGAGAGAACATGATAATTATGCCTACTGCAGTGTTGAAGACATTGGCAAGTGTTTAGTAAAGGTAAAGAAATCCACAGTTTCAAGGCAGATGGCATCTGAAAGACAGAGTTCTGTGTTCCCAAAAAGCAATGACTTGTCAGTATAATCAGAAAACAATACAATTTATGAAACACTGCTTTGGGTAGCAAATTCTAAGTGTGAGAGAGATGGCAAGAGTTTTTATACTAATGGAGGGGCAGCAAAGTGGGATAATTAGATCTTCTGGTTCTTGACACAGTAGTGAAGGGAGTCAGAAGCACTCTGAAATAGCTGTCAGACCATAATGTAGTATTAATAGGTGACTGCTCTTTAGTAAGACTAAATGAAAGATAAAGGTGATGAGGTGGCACTCTATATTAGTGCTATTACAGGTTGTGAAGAAATAAGAAATGATAGTGAGGACAAAATGGAGCAGATCAAAAGCGTGTCAGGAAGGACTGTAAAAGGTCTTAGTGCAGCAGTGAAAAAAGTCTTTTAAACAGGCACAGGCTCATTTTGGAGTATTGAGTCACTACATATGTAGATAAAGGTGGAAGACAATAGAGAAATGACCCGAGAGTTATATTAACAAATCCTCTCCATTTAATAATGTTGGGTTTGATGTTCTGAAAGTATGATGTTGTTTAACAAGTATGTGAGTGTATTGATATGAAATGAAACATAAAGATGAAAGCTGAACTCAGAAACTGTAGCCTGTTCAAAGAAAAGGGGAGAAAACTCCCAGCCTTAAGTACTGATGTTACTACTTTCACGTGCTGTGGCAAAACTGATGGCAGAGATATTAGCTCATCTGTCACTTTAAGAATGGTACCAGGCATTTCTGGACAACAGCAAAATAAAAAATATATGTGAGGAAAGTAATTTAACTATTAACAGGCCACTCAGTCTGACCTCAACAGTATACAGGACCTTAGAATAATTTTTGAAGAACATAACTAGAGTAAGTCACTAGAAAGAGGGATAAAATGCAGTCAATACTTACCAAAGGGTGTCAGGCTAATTTGATAACAATGATCTAATAGAAATAAATGTATAAGGCCAGGGAAAAGTGATGTATCGATTGCTTGGAGATCTGGGAAGCCAGTGATATAGGAAATATAGGAAATTAGGATGGAGAAAATAGACAGGTGTTATGGCAGAAACTTTGCTAACTGTCTAAGAACGAGATACAGAGGAAACTGCAATTGCTTGAACTGAAGCATAAATGATTATCCTAGAAAAAGGCCAGTAAACTCTCTCCACTATAATTTTCAAGACTCTAATATTTCCACTAATTTTACCTTATAAAGTAAAGGTGACTATTGAATTAATAAAATTTTCACATGGCATCACTGAAGGGAGGGGAATGGACGTTTATAATGTTTGAAGACAGAAGGATGGAAAAAGTATAATAACCTTTGCTACTGAATGCATAATCTAGATTTTTTTAAGGCCTAGTCTGAAGAATTACTCATATAAACCTTGTACTTGTTAATTGCAAGTGAGAATGAGGGAGAATGACTCCTAAATATTGTCTAGACTATTGATCAGCACTGCAACATGGCTGGGAAGAGTACAGATTTGATCCAAATTCTGAAAAACAAAGTACTGTGAGCTGGGAAAAAAAAAAAAAATTACAAATGCCAGCTTAAGATCTTATCTGGAATAAAATTCTGGTTGGGCACACTCAGGAAGTATGAAATCAAACAAGAACAAGCGTAGGGATGGACCTGATCATCAGGCAACTTGAGGTTATAGACTCAGAGGAGAATTTAAAAAAGTTTACTCAAATGACAGCTGTGAGGACATGGTGTTATTAATGTTTTAAAGTGAATAACAAAGAAGAAAAATTGTTATTTGAAGCTAAGGAACAACACTGGGAGAAGCATGAGACAATACAGTGGCTCCGAATAAACATGGAGAATTAGGAGAGTGTTTTTCATGTCAGAAAACTACCTTGTAGTAATGAGATCTGAAACTCAGCTTTTTTAAAAAGGAAACTAAACCTAGAAGAGGTTACATGATGTAAAAAAGGCAACAGAAGACGGATTAGTTCATTGCCTCAGGAGATCCCTTGCAGCTCTGTCTTCTTGACTACACAACATCTATCCACACCTTTTGTAATTCCAAGGCATTCCAAAGCACGAAATCCAGGAGGAGTTCAGCTACACATCTCTTATTTCAGCTGTGGAGGGGGATGCTACACTCCTTAATGCAATATAAAATACCTTTTGTATGAAGCTATAACACATGTGTTGCACAAGCCTCCCTGATTTCCAGCTTGTTTCCAGGTGTAGATCATCTTATGTGTTTACGCAGCATCGGGCAGAGCAGAACCCCAAGCCTGATGGGATTCCACAATGCAGAGAGGAATGAAAGAAATTAATAGCAAAAATACCAAGTTTTGAACAGTTTTATTCTTTTTGATTTGTGGTCTGTGCATTGCGGAGCCTGAATCAGCTGATGTACAAAGCTCATGGCAGAGCTCAGTTTTAAGCTTTAACAGCTATCCTTGAAGGAATAAAGTCCTGAGGTTCAGAGGAGTTTTCATGGGTAGGGAGAATTGTCCATCTTGAAACTTTTATCACTTTAGACTATTTAGCACTTGCAGGCTGCACTGTACACGTGCTGAAGCGACAGATATGACTTGCAAATTAGACTAAAGTGCTGACCAAGCAAGTTTAACATACACCGATTAAGGGAAATTAATTTCATTTTGGTTTAATTATTTCCAGCAATTTAATCTTCCAAAAAGATAAATAAATTTCAGAGTTAAGAAACTGCATTATACAAGGAAAGGCAAACTGTGTGTTTATTACACATTGGTGTCAATTATGAAATTTACCCTGGGGAGTGAATGTCCATCTTCTCAAACAATGAGATATAACATTTTGATGTTATATGATGACATATATCATTTTGATATAACACATTCATTTGACCTTCATCCTGTGAGTTTCCTTAGAGTGAAACCAGCTAGCTGTCATTCTCTGTTTGACCTTGACAATCCCAGTGCCTGTTTTCAAAGGTGCAGGGTACCTTTAACTTCTGTGACTTTCCCGTGAACTTCTGAATGTTCAAGCTTCCTCAGTAACCTGCCCTAACTTGGTAATTCATATTTACACAAACACTCAAACAACACAATTTGCCAGCTGTTGAGAGAAAGGAATCAAAGCTGAAAAAGGGAGAGAGAGAGGGCAATAATGCTGCGTTTCTTAACTTCGCAAGATTAATTTTAGCCAGCCTCAAGAAACATGTAAATGAAATCAGGAAACCCCCTGTTAGTTCTGCCTGTCCTTACTGCATAAATCCCCTGTTTTTTCTTGACCCTCAATGACTGAAGCCCGGGCTGAAAAAACAGCTGCATTGTACTGCAGACTGAAATCCTCCTACAGCTATCAGCTCTGGGATTCAAACACGAACCAAACAGGATTATGCAGAAGGGCAGTATAACACTTAGTGTGAATTAAAGGTATGAGGAAAGACACATTTCTTTTGGGGTAAGCTACTTTTTTTTTTTTTTTTCAATAGTTTAAATAGCCTAATTATTATCTCAGATGTGCTGAGCCTTTTTAAATACTAAACAGCAATAATGTTCTGTAACGTGAAGAACTATGTATGACCGTCTTCTTAAAATCAAATATATTCCACAATAAACTAAAGGTATTTCAACCCATTGCAGTTGCTTATTACTTTAGGATGCATGCTCTTTATCTTAAATCATGCTGTACATTACTCACTAATCTTTGCAAGGTTGTGACTAAGTGCTATTAAACAGTGCAATTTTATTTTTTTTAAATTTTTTTACTTTCTTTAGGAGTAATAATAATGTATCAGAACCAGAAAAGGGTTGTCACCTGTAATAATAGTATTTAAAAGGCAGTGCAGCAGAATAAACAACTAAGGATTATTAAGCACATTATTCTGTTTCCCTCAGCAATCTAAAGATACTGGTATTTTCTCACGTATTTCCTTACCTTGAATGTGAATAATTCTTTCATGCTCCAGACTTGAGTTGTCAGGGTGAGGTTCAGCCCAGCAGGCAGAAATCAGCACCAGAAAAAGTAGACTCTTCATCTTTACAGTCAAAAGAATCTTCTTCACTGTAAGGGCACCACATACAAAGAGGCTTGTGAATTTTTTGAGACCTTTACAGTGTTGCACTGCACAACTTGTTACAGCAATGATCTTATGATGGACCTACAATATATTTAACTTACTCAGCTGAAAAAGTTAGAGCAGATACTCATTTTTAGGCATGGAGAGTGGACCTTTTTATCATGGACTTTCAAGAAATGAAACTGGCAAGCCCTATTCAGCTCTGTCTATGCAGAAATACAACATGAAATAATAAAAGCACACACACAATTATCCAGAAAACAAACTCCTTGCAAGACCAGACTCCTTGCAAGCAATACCTGTGTTTCAAAAACTGTTCTAGTGTACTTTTGCTTTTCCAGCCCTACTCTAGATCTAGTCTGTAAATGCAGTTAAAACAATCAAAGCTATCACTGTGTCTATATCCACTGCATGATGCAATCTACTGGTGATAGATTTTCAAGATTAAAACAATATTCTCATAGGTTTTGGCATTTCAGTCAAGACTGCAAGTTAGCTTAGCAGTCAGGGTGGTAAGTTTGCTTGAGCTAAGCAGTAAGGATGACAAAACAGTTCTCAGGCTGACTAGAAAGATCTATTTTATTTCAGATCCACTTACCATTTTAAAAGATGCCTAAATACACACTGAAATGTTCGAAACCATGCACAAAGTAGGTTAGAGTTGTATATGCTACCACTGCAGCTGCCCTGATTGATTTTTCATTCATTTCTACCTAGAATGCTGACGCACTAACTTAGTGTGCCAGGTAGGGTCTCTGCAGTCAGCAGAGCTAAGCGCTGCAGGGAAAATCTCTGCCAGCCTCTGAGTAGTAATTAGGCAAATGAAGACCTGAAATAGAAAAGGAAGCATAAAATACAAGAGGCTTTATGTAGAGGGTTCAGGCTGCTGTGTGTTTTATAGATATAATTTTTATGACCCTGATTTCTTGCAATAAAAGATAGCTATTTCCCAACTTTGTCTTTCAAGAGACTAGGATTTTGTCCCCAGTCACCAAACAGTGGCAGCATTATTAATGAGCTTTCTCCCTAATGGAGAAAGAAAATTATTTTTTCCCCTTTTTTCTCTATCAGAGCTAGAAACACATCAAAGTTACAGGGTACATTTGGTCAGAACCAGGGTCAAGGTCCAAGCTTTGCAAACAGTCTTTGTCCCCAGATAGACTCAAACACCTATGTGTTTCAAGTCTAAATCCAAATATTGTAATCCTAACCAACCTCTGCTACAGAATGAAATGCAGAAATGCCATTTCTTTTTCAGAACAGAACATGCACGTTACTTGCCTGCCCTTCCATTTCTTCCAAGCGAGTTTGGGTAGGAGTTCAGAGGCAACTCAGCATCCTTTACTCCTTACTGTGGAGTGTCTAGAGGTAGGACAAGTGCTCGCCGCACGCTATTTTCCAGGTGGTCCCTGCTCAGTAACTCAAGACTCTCCGGCCACTCCCTCTTTTCCTGGAAAGCTTGGCAGACTGATGACCTCCATTCCTGAGAGCAAGGACAGATGTGGCTCCCTCTAGAGCACATCAGCCCCAGCCTGGGCCCACCAGAGGGGTCACAGGGGGGCAGCCGGGTGTTCTTGCTGCACAAGGGGATAGAGAGAAGAGCAGGGTGCACTGGTTGTAAAACCACACTGCTCCTTCTCCCTCACAAACCCCAGTCCAGGCACCCTGTGCATTTCCTCTAAGAGGGAAAAACGCTTCAGGTTTGGGGTTTGGGTTTTTTTTGGCTGCTGACTAACTGACAATTCTTTTTTGTACTGGTGGGGGAGGGTGTTATTGATTTAGAAATTGTTTAGCACAGAAGCTTTGATTTTGAAGGCAGAGTTTATGGGGGTATTCCCACTTCAGCTTGCAGCTTGGTGCCTACACTGGGTGCAAAAGCTCCTGGGCTCAGTGAGTGGGGGTAAAGCCCACAGGGGCTCTACAGACCTGCTCTGGGAGTGCCTGAGCAAAATTAACACTTTGTCTCTACCTCTTGCCACAAACCTGCTCTTTTCCGTGGCACTAGTGAAAAGAAACAACCACACAACAAGATGGCAGGTAGTACTACCATCCCCCTCCCTAACTCTGGGACTGGGGTCCCATTGTGGGATAAGAAAGATTTACATTCTGGTTACATGGATGGAGAACTCCACCCATGCCCTTCTTCCTTGTCAAGGTCACCCTAATATGATGGTGGAAAGTCCACGTGGCATCATCAGGTGATGATTACCAGAAATAAACAGCCTCAGGATTAGCACTGAGTGGGCAGGATACACCTTTTAGAGATATTTGCCTGGACTACCAGCTGCACCCAGGAAACTGAGGAAACTCTATCACGTTTGCCTGGACTACCAGGCAAACATCATGTCACTGTATAGAGTTTGTGTGGTAGTATCACACAAGCAGGATGAGAGGCAGGTCAACAACGGACTGGTGAGATCCACTCTTCCTTTTCCCCAGGTTCCTGGATGCAGCCAAACACCTGGTCTGGTGGGAGGTGTCCCTGCCCAGGGCAGGGGAGTTGGGACCAGAAGATCTTTAAGGTCCCTTCCAGCCTAAACCATTTTGTGATTTCATATGTCACTTGCCACAGAGTTGGTACAAAATCAACATTAAGGCTACAGATCCGCAAGTTTTTTGGAGGGGTATAACCAAGTTGGTGGTACTTTAGCCTTGTTAATAGGCAAATTTTATAGTGGCTGGGTTTCTGGTTTTCCCTAATTCCCACAGACAGAAAGGGCAGCCTGAAGTGTTCATTCTGCATGTAAAAGCACACACACAAATAGCACGTGTGTGCATGTCTGTGCTTTATTTACTCTGGTGATGTTCATCTGCACTGCTAAGGTGTGTTTGTCAGACTGCACAAAACTAGCAAGAACTTAAAAACTATTTCCCAGGGGACCAAACGTCTGGTCAACATTTCAGAAAATGTATGCATCGTGTACCTTTGCTTAACTCACCAGACCCTTCATACTCGAGGTCAATCAACTGAGAGCAGTTTCTTCTGGGCGGAAGCATCCCATTGGGGGCCATTTCAACCCTCCAATTAAGCCTGAGCAGCTTTAAGGCTGCTCCCTTTTATTGCCATGTACAGTGGCAACTGAGAAAGTTTGGGTATCTGAAGTCAGGAAGGAATGCCCTGATCCTGCACCACTCTCCTCCTGGGATTCCCCAAGATGGGATCTCTGGCACCGAGCCAGAGCAGCACAAAGCAACATTACCAGGCCAAGAACCTGACCCCTGGGGTTTTGTAGGTTATCCAAAAAAGCATTTGGCCAGAGAAATTCACATCCTCAGCTCTAGCCAAAGCAATAGAAGGCAGACTCCATCCCTGCAGCAGCCTAGCAGACCTCAGGGGAGACATGATAGGTGTGGATGTTTTCATATTAAAATTAATAAAATCTTGGCTAGGAGACAGTGAATTTTCAGTAAGAAATGGTAATGATTAGTCATACTCAAGAAATTCGCACTGGTTTCAATTACTGCAGTTTATGAATTCGCTATCTCCCTAGACAGGGACACAAAGAAACTGAGGAGTAGTTTTTAAAGGGAGACGTCAAGGCTCAGGGAAGTGGTCAAGGTTACTGTACATTCAGTTTTTAAATTCTCAAGAACTGCTCGTTCTTAGCTACAATTTGAAATTCTGATAGTAATCACCGGTTTTTTTTCATACTTACCCAGCCATAATTCATCTACTCCTGGCAAATCTAAAAGGCTATAAAGCACCAGTGTTTGTATTTTAATATAATATTCTGCAAATTAACAGAATGCTTTCAAGTAATTCAACTGCATAAGTAACAGACACTTCTCTGAAGAACTGAGTACTGGAAAATACTGTTATATACCAACCTCTATTTTAATAAAATAATTCTTATTTACTACTGCAACTACTTTCTGGCTACAGAACATGAGAGCATCCACTGTGTGAGGACAAAGTCCACCTAGCTCAGTATCATCCTTCTGACAATAGTTAAAAGCCTGGGGAATGCCTTTGTTCACAGAAATTAATTTTTTTCTTATATTAAGTCATGATGATGCCCTATATCAAATGCTTGTTTCCTTAAGAGACCTGTGGAAGCCCAAACTTGCAATGGCTCAAGAGCATATGGTAATACAACCACCATCTCCTGTGATCCAGCCGGTGACACTGTCATCCTAGTGAGATGGGTGCTTGAACTAGATTTTACCTAACTCATGCAAAATCTGGCTGCTTTTGTAGAACCATCCCTGCTGCTTTGGATCTTGCAGGTTTGTGATTCCCTCACAGTTACCCAGGTATCCACAGGACCTGAGGAGAAGAGGGTATTGCAGCAACATGTTATGCCACCTTCTCATGTGTGTAATTTCACAATTCAAAGAAGGCTGGGGAGAGCAGATATCTGTGGAAGAAGGAGATGAGGCACCAGTGCACAGGGACAGAGAGAAAACCAAATTCCTAGGGTAGACACAGGGGACTTCTTCATAAAATGCTCTGTCTTTCTGTGAAGTTTCCTATTTTTAATACAGTGAGACCCAGCAAGTAAATGCAGAAATCAATAATGTCTAAAAAGGGTAACAGAATCAGTAAAATCAGTCTCAATAACTTAGGACTGAAATAGCCCCCAAAACTGTGGACTATTGGCATCTGTGTACAACCCTAATATGTAATTTAAGCATTTAAAAGTCCCTTCTCTGTGGAGCTCTATGTTACCTTGGAATTGGCGCTAAGCACTAGCGAGATACCTATAAATGACACAAAATTTATGTATTTTCAGGGGCAGGGTGTCAGCTGCAGTAACTAAGTCTCTCATCCTTATACGCTGTTGGTAGATCACAGAATAGGATGGAGACTAGTCTAGACAGTACTGACACACTCTTTTCGATAACCTTTCCCAAAACAGGGAATTTGGAGCAGAATACTTCAATCCAGCTGATTAGACAGGATTCTGGTGTCAAAAGACTGTCCCAAGTCTCCTAAAGATCATATCTTTTATATATATATGTATATAGACACCTAGGCTTAGGC